CCTATGTAGTTATTTACCTGTCTATGATCCTTTGTCTATTTTCGCTTCACAAACTTTGCTTTATTTGCTCTGCGCGATTGGCTGGTTCATTCCAACATAACAAATGAAACAAAGTTATTACTAGTTTTTCCGGATTAGTTTCTTCACAAAACCAATCTTTCGTGTCAGATAAATCAATATGTTTTAATTTTCCGGGGTCTATTTGTATAAAAGACGGATAAGAAAATAGAATAAAAGTATTAAATAGAAGTTTTAGTAAAAAAAACACAAAAAAGACAGTAATAAAATATGGTAAAATAAAACTTTGTACCTAAGTACTGCATAATTTTTTTGCCTGTATTTCGGGGAAACTGTCTTAAGTCGTTTGTATTAATTTTCATAGAAAGTACTCATAAAGTGCTATTATGGTAATATCCATTGGTTGGAAAATATCTGGGGCGGTAAATGTAAGGTGCAAACGACTTTGGGGGCTCGTTTTTTGCAATCAAAGCATCAGTATTAAAATAAGCCATGATATGTTTGTCCTACTTAAAATATCCTTTTTCTTGGGGTGCCCTTGTGAGAAGGTACTAGAAAGAAGATCTAGATAGATCTAATAAATTAGAAAATCCCTTTTTACGATTTAATTTCACAGCATTTTACTTAGGAGTTGTTATTTATGTTACATGCTATTAAAATTATTCCTATTACCTGTTTTGCACAATTTGGAATTTGTCTTTTTTTTTTTTTAAACATTGAAAATATAATTTGGGTATACATTTAAGCTTGAAAGTATGAGGTAGTGGCTTAGATTTTTTTCAGTTCCTATGTATAACGTAAGTATCGGTATACGCTATGTTATGTACCGTAGCATATGAAGCATATATTTTTGTTTGGGAATAATTTTACATATCTTCCTCATAAGTGTCTTTATATCTTGGTTTAAAATCTGAAAACAAAAAAATCTATATACTCGATTTCTATGAAACTGAGATTCAATGTTGCATCCGGACCCGGTGTTATATGTATACACAGACGAAGCTGGAAATAAAAATCAGTAGTTTAGTCTGCTGCTTATTGGGTACCGAATTGAAATGATGGTGATGATCATGAAAAAATATCTGAGACAGATTTGTAAAACGAAAAAATTGTCCACCTTAGTTTTAAAAAGATAGTTTAAATAACACAAAACACAACAATTAGCAGAATAAAAAGCTTTGTAGGTACATAAACAGAGCGTTGTCAAGTCCCAAAGATAATGTGAACAATGTAATAATGCTTGACAAGTGCAATAAATCCGTGGTGTGACGGATTGAGAATACAGAGTGTCACCACCCCTATTCATCCCGTGGGTGTTGTAAGAGCCGACTAAGGGAAAACGAAGGAAAACTTGACACAAACCCTATACCAACCCGTCTGGCCAGCGTGGTATAGTAGGCCAAAACCTCCTTTCCAAGGCTTATGTCCAACAGTGGACTATTAAAGGCTGTTGATGATGATGATGATGATGAGTAATAAAGCAGCCCACCAACGTATTGTTTACCAAGGCTTCAGTGAGCCGGATCTGAGCACGCCATGCGATGTCTTCGCAACACCTAATCTTTGCATACGACAGCCTTTCTAGTCGCAGTAATATCAATGTTATATTACTCTGAAGGTATTCAGAGTAATATAACGTTGATATTATAATACTGCTAAAATAAATGTTTTACTGCGCTACAGCCAAATAAATTTATACTTCTTAATAAAACTTAAATATAATGTCCAATAATGTAATGACAAATAGGAACTAAATTCAATTTGAATAATTATAAATTTAAACATTAATGGTAGGCTTGTAATAAAAATGGAAGACAGAAATCTGTTGGCGTAAGTTGTAACTTCAGTTAGTCGACAGTTCGACGTTCGGAAACGTGATAGACATGGGTGGCGTGAAAAATGTTCAATGAAAATGTTCACGCGTACATCCCACCAAAACTATGTTGTTGTGATGGAATGTTTCTGAAAAAGACTTAAACAGATTATACCAGTGAAAGAGTTATAGATAAAAATTCAAAAGAATTTATTAAGATTATCAAAAATGATACGGAAATTAATATTTAATTTCTGTTTCATTTTTGATAATCAAAATTCAATAACATACCTACGTTATTTTTTCAATAGTATAAGGCTTTCTTATGGTCACACTTGGGAAATCTATAAACCATATGCAAATATAGTTTAATATGTCATGATAATTAATTTAAGGAACAAGTAGTTACTTAACAGGTTTTTTAATGTTTTGCCTATTATAATAAAAATAGAATTACTTGTATTTGTAGTAGTCTGAAAACCTAACTTTCACAAAATATATGTATGTATGTATATAAGCTCCTTGGTTTAAGTAGTTTATAACAAACGATAATCACTTATAAACCGAGACCAAATTATCCCGAACTTTATTAAACTTTTATGAAAATCCGGTATTTTAATTATAGTCGTCTGATCATGCATGAAAATTAATTGGCTAGTGCGGCCTTTCCACGCTACGGTACAAATTATGGCTCATAAAGGCGATTAAATAAAATGCCATCGAAAACAATACTTGTAAAAAAAAACAAGTCTCGCAACTCAGTTCTTCTACCGTAAAATAATCTTCAGTGTAATACCAAGTCGGTTAAAAACGGTAAGTTAATTAAGTCGGTAGAAAACTGGACCGAAATTACAAAATATTTTAGTTCTTCCTTGATTTATATACTAAACACTAATTGTATTCTAAATTTGAAGATTCTATGTCAGCTAGAAGTGCCTTAGAGTTTTGATGATCGGTCAGTCAGTCAGTCAGTGAGTGACAAAATTAAGAATTTTTAACTAGTTATAATTCTTAAACTACTGGTTCAAATTGAATGAAATGTAAACCGTGTTTATACAATACTTGTTTGGTCACTGAAAATTCAGGCTTCTAGTTTTATCTACAACGAAGTTATAGGGGGTCGAAAATGACCTGAGCTGCTTTGAGAAAAGGATGGTACGGCCACTTTTTTGCTCAACTTGGCTCAGATAGTTATTATAAAATCCAAGAACTAATACATATATTAAATTAATATTAAAAACCTTAAATACGATTTATAATTCAACGAGATTCAAGTCAACGAGCTCAAAACAACTTAGTGTTTTTAGCAAAATTCAATCCGTTTAAAATCCATTTGATTATTAAAAAGTCTGTAAAACATGAATACGTAGAGAGAGACACGCTAAATGTTATGACGTGACACGAATATACGTTCTGCTAAACAGGGACTACAGATGTTAAATAAACATACGTAGCTAGATTTTGACATCCATGAACATTTCTTACAATTAATTTATTCAGATTAAAAACAATCCTATGACTAAAAACAGGTATAAATATTATTCTGCGAGGTTATGAGGATTTTTTGTTTTAAAGCCTGTTATTGCAGTATAGATCTACAGTCTTATTTCATATTTAGATAGCATAGCATAGCAATAATAGAAATAGAAATCAGAGGGTGATGTTAAGTTAAAAATAAAGTAATGTTATACTTTTATAGAAATGGATATAAAGTGCATTGTTGTAAGATGTGATTATTGGTATTGTATTTCTCGGAAAGCATTTCATATCAAAATTAAAAGTTAAACTAGGCTTTGGTAAAAACAATGCTAAGAAAATTTCGAGTCCTTACTAGTTGGGCTCGAATGTCTCAAAATAATTATGCTTCGATATTAAGAAAAGGTAATAAGTTAAAGTTTGTTTCGAATTTCTTGTACTGTTGAAAGTTTTCGAGGAAGCATGAGAACACGTAAGGTCATTTGGGAATCCCTGTGACAGGCGTCTGTCTCAAAGAATAGTGTGAATAAGATAGGAACGGGGATCGAATTTCAAACAAAGCCAACATCGAAACAAGACTACCTTTGAGGATTATCTGTTTACATCAGACTGTACAAAGTTAAAAAATTAGATACCAAGTGGTAGTACGTAAAATATAATCTTTATAAAATGGTCAATTGTTGTTGAACTTCTATTTTTTCCTATGCAACTAAAATCTTTGTACCAATAAGGCAATCTCATTTTAATGAAGTTAGTTAGTTACAGGTTGTTGGTAGATCTTTGTCTGTTAAGATCTTAGCGGCTATTTTAAAACACAATTAACTAAGATACATGATTTTACTACTCCACACAATGAGGAAGTGTATCAATTTACCAGGGATAGCTCTTTTGCAAGCTGTAAAAGAGGATTATTTCTAATAGGTTTTCTATAGCTCTTTCACAGAAGTAATACGATACTAAACTTACTTTCAAGTGTAAAGTGTTAAATCACGTTATAGTAAATTTTGTAATTCGAATTTAGCTCCAGTATTTATCCTTCGTCAACTGCTGTTAGAATTGACTTAAAAAGGAAACTATGTCGCGTTTGATTGAAATCTGCTTAACCGTTTAACTCTTGCGTAATCTTTTGAAAACTATTATTAGATTGCAATAATAAGACCAAAATGTTAATAAAAAAAAAATTGTTATCCAGAAAACATAAGTATTGCATCCAACAGAGATATCAAAATATTTACAAAATTAAAGTACCTAATAAGCCTATGAATATCTTAAGAACTACCTTGGTGACGTACTCGTAACGATCCCAAGTAGGCTGTCATAAATAAAAAGTTAAAGTTGTCTTTATCAAAACTAGGTGAAATTTTGTATTTTGAATTTTATTGAATATAATTTAGTTAGTTAGTAAGTTAAAAAGACAACGCCCGCATTAGAAATATATTCCTGTGTCGCGGGGGACTTTACAAATATACATGAAATGGATACAAAGAACACCGAGACTCAGAACAACAATTTGTGGATCGCACAAAGTGTCGTCCCATGTGGGGTTTGAACCCACAACACTCTGCGTAGTAGGAAGCGGCGTGGCGACCACTTAAACCACTACACCATCCATGCAGTCACATATAATAATCTATTTCATATTTTTGTTGCAGAGAAGTAGGAGCAACACTGATGTAGACATCTCAGCGCTACGATGGACCACTGGGTGACAGCAGCTAGCTCGTTGCTGGCTTTCCTGCTCTACTATAACACCCTAGATGCAGGATTTGTTTACGATGACAGGTGAATATAACGAAATATGGTATAAAAATAATAAGAAATGAGAAAATTGTCTTATATGTACTACATATAGTACAGTTCTTAAAAATACCAAAAAAAAAAAGCTTTTTGAGGTGTCGTTGATGATGAATCGTCGCGCATGATATTCGTACTATGTAGCACAGGTTGGGACATGTCCTATTGTCCTATGCTTATTTACAACTTTATTTCAATGAAATTATATTCATTAGTGAATTTGAAGTAACAATACACAAAATTATTTTAATGTTCTACTAATTTAGAGGACCCTACCCTAGCTAAGGTTAAATAATAATTCTTGAATGATCCCGTATCTTTAAATTTGTTATTGGATGGGTCAGTATCAATACATTGTAATAACGTTTCAATTTGGCTCTGAATAGATAAACTTCAGTATCAAAAGAACATTTTATTTTATTTCACTCGACCAAATCAAATTACACCATGTTTAAATAATGTTTCTGTCTATACTAATATTATAAAACTGAAGAGTTTATTTGCTTGTTTGTATGGTTGAATCTCAAAAACTACTGGTTCAAACTTTTTTAGTGTTAAGCAGGCTATAAGCTATATGACATTAAAATTGCGACCAATAGGAGTCGAGCGTCAATGAAAAATGTTGCTAAACGGTGAAAATTTATTCCTCTTGAAGGACGCAGACGGACTACATGGGTCTTATGCTGGTTTTTATAAAAAGACTTGCTCAGCAGACATGGCATTATTTAACAATCTATTTTAGGCTTCCTTTTCTCATTCAAATTACCCTACAAATATCCGATTGAAGTAAAATTACCTAACCTACAGGATTTCACTTTGTTGTCTGATGAACAGGGGCTTGTGATCCTTTAATCCTCTTCTTAAGTACTAATTGAGGTCGGTAGAGGGTCGGAGGTTGATACAAATATAATTATATGAAAGTCTAGTTAAAATTGTAATCAGAAAAGATCAGATTATTCTCCTAAAAATGTTCAAACTTGTTTTGCGTGCCTTTAAATCGCTTACTCACCGCTCAATATAAACTTTTCTCAAAGCGGATTTATTGTCTAAGTGGCGGCAACCACCTAGTGATGAACTTTCTCTTTCAGTAGCGGTCAGTTTTGCAAGTAATATATTCATTGCGTTATTATATGCTAAGGGAACTATTATTATCATATTTATGGAAATAGATGTTAAGTGCACCCTAATTTTTAAATTAATTTCATTTCATTATACGTACCTTTTTTTCTCATTTTATTCTAACCTCTATAGATATACATTCCATGGAGTACCAATCATCCACTCTTATGTCTATATATATATCGTTTACCAATATAATTACCTCATTAAATAGAACAGTAATATAAATATAAATAATAACAACTCTAAAAAGTTGTTACGCCACATTCTCTAGTAAATAATCATAATAAAATCGATCACCTAAGTTGTATATAATGTTAGTTATATGCAATATAACCAACATTTTGTATAGGAAATAATTAACTCACTAGGCGGCTTACAACGCCTGATGAAATTCATTCTCTCTGTATCAGTATCATCGGTGGGTGACATTGACGCACGTGTCACCTGTGTTAGTTACATGTGTCTGATATGGCAGTTACGTGTTGAAAGCTTAAATTGAAATCTCGCTTCAACAACATCATGTGATGCATATTTGGATTTGACACGCCAATCATAAATTTTATATTTTTATGTCCATACAGTTAAGTCCATAAGTTTTCAAACTTTATACGTTTAATTAATTTTTACTCCTTGGAAAAATGTAGCATAACCTATTCTTTAATTTAACGTATTTTTAACCAAGATTGTATAACATTTAAAAGGATTTTTTATAAATCCTATCACGTCTCAAGCATCTTTAGATCAGTTAAAATTATAGCAACACTTCTGTCTCGATATGCACACGGTAAATGCCTGTAGAGGAAGCAGTACCACCGCGTACTTTTGTGAAAAAGATTTCTACAAATTCGTGAACACAAAGCTTCGTGAGTATGTTGTGAAATATATGTCAAATGGCAAAGAAGTTGTAAAACTGATAACCAATCAAAAATCGTGATATGTTTTTGAGCAATACATAAGTATGTATTTCTCATGTTCTTTCCTCAATTCTTATTTAATAAATTACAGTTTAAAAAACTAAAGAAGACTTTTCTAACTAGCCGCATTGAAAAGTAGAAAATAATTTTATATTACTTCAAAAAGAAGAGTCGTTTAATCGTAAAAATGCGTGGGGTTTTAGATCTCAATTGTTGTCAATATATTTTATTGACAGATATTGATAGAAGTAATTTTTATAAAATATCTTGAAAAGTACCCCACGCTTTTTTACGACAAAATGATTTATTTTTACTTTTTTAGTCATTAATGAATATTATTTTCTCGTTAAGATTAATAAAGTAAAAAGTAAGTAAGTTAAATATGCTGTTAACACACGCCTCTTAGAACGAACCAAAAGACTACCGTATTTTTAGGTATGGAAAAAGCCGGTAATCCTGAAGATCATCGACTGAATTTATCAAATTATTGTATTGTCATTAGTCCTTGAGAAGCGTACAGTTTCAATTTAATTCGACGTTTTGAAGTGGGTCAAAATCACGTTCAAAGATTCCGTTAAATACATACCAAGCTAATAGAATAGTGTTAAAATATGATACAGTGCTCTCTAGCACTGTATCATATTTTAACACTATTATTATTTAAACATTTATATAATAATAAAATGAAATAACGTGATTCTCTAATCACGTTATTTCATTTTATTATTATATAAATGTTATAATGTTATATACATTTTTGTGCATGAGGTATTAATAAATGAATAAAAAGAAGTATGACAGATATCTTCGCATATCGCATTTAAAACCTGGTTGAATCGTAACAATTTTATAATTGTATTTTTTTGAATCCAGAGATGTATGATAAAATTTAGAATGTGATTCATTATTTCTCATATCGGAAACATGTACGTATTTATGTTAGCTTTTAGTTAGAAGACAAGTTTACTCCGAATTTATTGCATTTTTTTTCATAAATAAAACATTCCCTATACTTAAAGTAATAAATCGTATTTCTAACTAATCTTTCAAATTTTTATTTAAAGTGCTTCATCCATCCAGAACCCATCTGATTTGGCAATGTTTAGTAACCGCATCACGTCGAAAATGAAGCGTCAGCCGGGCTTGCTGCCACTAAATTAATGAAGCGAAATGGATATTATACACGTTTCTAAACTGTACAGGTGTAATTAGGAATAATATATTCTGTTTTTTTACACCATTGGATAACTAAACACAATTGAAACGAATCCTGAAATTGACAAGTAAACAAAAAACAGGTCGAACTTATTCCTAAAACAATCTTTTTCAAATAACAGTACTCGTAGGTTTACACTCATTATTTGATACAATAAAACATGTTACATTTTATATATGTTATTTATAGTATGTTTTATTATAATATGAAATATGACTTAAGTAAGATTAATTAAAAATAAATTAGTTGATGGTAGGTCTAAAAATGTTAATGTGAAAGTTAATTAATAAAATATTATCACTTAGTTCAGTTCAAACTCTGAAAATCTTTAATGAAAAGCTCTTCACAGATCTTTATTCACAAATTGGCCAGACTTGAGAATATTGCTTCGGCTTTCTTTTACTCTTAAAATCATTAAAAATTTGACACACAAAAAGGTCTACCGTCAAAGTCTCTTGAGAAATGCCACCAATTAACACCTAAATAGGGCCCCCGCAGGAATTGAAGGAGCTGTAAAAAGGTAACCCGCTATTTACTGAAGACCCAAAGTTGGCCATGTTGAATAATTTAGATTTTCCTTTGATCCCATTGTCCCCGAGGGCTATGAGGGTAGCCACATTATTGTGTTTGATTTATACTTTGTACTACTTTGACCGAAAAAGCGGCTTGAAACAATATTTGTATACAAAAGTTAACTAATTTATTTTATAGTTTTTTATTTAGTTTCCAAAATAAATAAGTTTTTTTTTAAATGATATGTAAACTTATTTTATCATAGGCTTTGCTTGACTAGTTGAGGGGTTCTATTCTTATGAGTTTCGTCGTTCCAAAAAGTCAATTTTAAATTATAATCGAAATTTGTGCAGTCATTTTTGGTTCATAAATAAGAAAGGTATGTTAAAACATATATAGATAAATACCCAAAGAAAAATATTTTGTAATGATTTAACTCACGTGTGTTATTAGATGTTGCTTGACTACTTTTGGCCTTGGAACGACGGGGAAACTTTATCACTGCGTGAAGCGATCTTCAGTATCGATGTCAGGTAGGGCCAAATATCAGCCCCTTACATCGAGATGTAAAGTAAAATTGTTAAAATTTATCTCTTGCATTACTTCTTAAATGCACTGAAATAAATAAAAAACTGTATGAAAATCCATAGTTTTATTTAATAAATGTAGTAACAGTACAGTTACGTTAGACATAATATGATTAGACAAATTTTTAGAACCCTAGTGAGACCATATAATTCCGGTTAATCGTAGATCAGAGAGAGTTTAAAGGCATCGGGTGGATTGTGCCTGTCTCTATTGCGAAACCTATGAGGGTATTGAGCAAGCGTAAAGAAGTCTTCAAAAAGTAACAACTCTCCGACTATTCTGCCTCCTCACAAGTCTCTTGAAAGCACATTGCTATGTGTTAATAGCTTGCCTAGCTTAAATGTGACCTCACGATAACTAAAATCTATACAAAAAATTAAAATGTGTCTGTTTGTAATATCAAAATGTTATTGCATGTGTTATTTGCACGTATAAATATTCATATATGCATTTACCTATGCCTAAAACCCAGTTTAAATAGTTTTGTGTCTATCTGTCTGTCTCTTTGTTCTGAGTAATCTTCAAAACGGTTGGACCGATTTTGATAATATTTTACTACCAGGTAGCTGGCTATATAAGGAGTAACTTAGGCTTTTGTGTCTTAGAAAAACCTAATAATTTTAAAAAGAAAATTA